GGCCAGCAGTGTGGGGAGACCTGGGGACTCCTGGGCCCAGAGTCAGCAGTGTAGCCACAGAGGACTAGAGTGGAGAGTGAAGCTACCAGCTGATAGGAAGAGAGAGCATACGCACAAGAACACCCTGCAGATGGTACTCATGTGACCTGGCCCCGATGAATGGATGATCAGAACTCAACCAGGAGAAGAAAGAAGAGGAGAAAAAAAAAAAGAGTGATCTGATAGAATTTAATGACCTTGACCTACACCTATGGATGCAGTAACCCAAAAGAGGGAACAAATCCTTACAGCAAGAAACATTCCCACCCCCTCCACACACAGAGTAGACAGAGATGGGCAACTTGGACATTGGATACCCAAATTGGGGCGGGGGGTACTACAAAGGCAAGAAGCAACTGGCTTACAAGCTTTCAAGAAGGAACCTAGAGCTAGGGGGCATGGAGGAAGGCAGAATATCCAGTGAGTGCTATCCAATCTGTCTAGGCAGAGCTGATGAAATGAAATGCAGAAGGGTCATTTGTGATACAATAGTGAATGATTGTTATCGGGACTGATTGTGAAGGTTGGAAATGTAAAGGTAGACGTTTTGTAGCAAGGAAGGGAGTGATTAAAGGACCATCAATGGAGAAGAGCCGAGAGCGGGACCCTACCCAGAGAAGCAGCGAGGCCCAAGATAGAGGCAGAGACGATGACATAGAGTGATGAAGAGGCTGGGGACTTTGGATCCAGAGAGGGAAAGGGACTGTGTGCTGAAGAATGGGGGAGGGGGGAGTGTAGGGGGCGGGTTTATAGGGTATATACCCTTTGGTCGGTTGATGATGCATGGAGGGAATTGGAACCATGGCAATGAAACGATATATGGTGGAATGAATGTAAAACTGAAGTTCTCTCATGTAAAATATCATATAATTCACAATAAAACATGAAAAAAAAGATGGGAAAGAACAAGCACATAACCTAAGCAGGAATACTGCCTTTCTCCATTCTCCCCCAGCTCCGTCAAGGAAAGAGCAAAATGCTGAAGAAGATGAGGAAATGTCCCAGAAAATAGAGGAAAGGTTTAGATAAATATAATTCCTTAGAATATTCAATAAATTGTAACATGAATTTTAAAAGTGAGCTCATAAAAGATGTTAAGACACCAGGAAGAAATGAAATTTCTTGAGATTTTAAAAAAATAGGCTAAACAAAACCAAACATAGTCATAAAAGACAGTCTTGGAAAAACATACATTAAAAAGTATGATGACACAAAAAAGTTTCCTAAAAGATAGCATATGCACTATTGATATTCATGAAGAAGAAACCAAACTGGAGTAAAAAAATTTTCAAAGCAGTAATGGGAAAGAAAAGCTATACTGAAACAGAAGCTACAAATCTGTAATGCAAACTGTATACCCGAAAAAATATTATATCAATTGATAAACAACAAGATGTCCACTGAAATAACTTCATATGAAGACACACATTTCAGGCACCCAGGGGAAAAAAAGCAAATTGTGTAAAAAAGGGGGAAATTCAGCTGGTTTCAATTTTACAGCAATATTCAATGTCAGAACAGAGTAGACTAGAAATTCTAAGGGAAAAACTGCAACTATTTTATAGCCAGTTTATTTTCCATCAGGTATATGTTGGTAAGTGCCATAGCATTGGTTTTGACCCATAGCAACCCTGTATAGTATTTCCAAGAAGCAGCTGGTTAATTTAAACTGCCAACCTTTCTGTCCAAACCGACCTTACTTACAGGTGAGTGCTTCTCCTACAGCACCACACCAGGATTTCTTTCATACCTTGTTGTTAAGTGCCGTTGAGTCGGTTCCAACTCTTAGCAGCCCTGTATAGAATTTCCATGGCTTTAAATCTTTTTGGGAGCCGAAAGCCTAATCTTTCTCCCACAAACCAGCTGGTGGGTTTGAACTGTGGATCTTGTGGTTCACAGTCCAGTGCTTATCGTATAGAGGCAATTATTATTTGACACAACTCCCATCAATGCCCTAGTTCTCAGTTTAAAAAACGTTGTCTACATTCAGAAGCCTTGGTGGCACAATAGTTAAGCACTTGACTGTAAGGTTAGCAACTGGAAACCACTAGTGGCTCTACGGAGAAAACAATGGCAATCTGTTTCTGTAAAAACTTACAGCCTAGAAAACCCTGTAGGCCAGTTCTACTCTGTCATAGAGGATTGCTATGAATTGGAATTGACACAAGAACACATAAGTGCACATTCACTACCTCCTCACTTCCCATTCACCCCTCTGTTTCTGAAGGGTATTTTTCAAACTGCCTTTGAAAAATAACTTCAGTGGCTTGCCAATTACTTTCCTTTTCAGTTGTATTTAGCTTTTCAGACATTGGACTTGGAATGTCTTGAAACTTCCTACCCTTGGTTTACATGGTGTTGCTCTCTTTTGGCAATTCTTTTACCTCCTTTTATTTTTCTTTGCAAGCTGATTTTTGTTCCTTATGAGTTCATATTTAGTTCTCTATTCCTTCACCCTGTATACTTACTTGGTGTTATTAACTCTACTCTTATCTCTAGACCCTATCTCTAGCCCCAACCTCACTCCTGAGTTTCAGACTTGCATTGTACAATATGTGTAGCTATTAAGCACCATTAATGTGTTAGTCTGAACTGAGATTTACTGTAAGTGCAAAGTACTAGATTTTAAAGACACCGTATAGAAAAATATCTCAATTTTTATGTTGCTTACATGTTGAAATGGTATTTTTCATATATCGACTTATATCAACTATATAGTTAAAAATTAGCTTTATCTGTTTCTTTGTACTACTTTTAATGTGGCTATTGTAAGTTTCTAAATTGTATATGTGGTAGTGGTGTGCCGTTGAGTCTGTTCTGACTCATAGAGATCCTGTGTAGGGTTTCCAAGACTAAATCTTTACAGGGGAAGAAAGCCTCATCTTTCTCCCACAGAACAGCTGGTAGTTTCAAACTGCTGACCTTGAGGTTAGCAGCCCAACTCATAGCCATTATGCTACCAGAGCTCCTAAATTATATAGGTAACTCACATTATATTTCTGTTGGACTATGCTACTTTAGAGCCATCTACCTTTCAATCAACAAAACGCTTATATTGAAAGTCCTACAAAGACCTCAGATTTTATGTCACAGACTATTTACCCCTTCTCCAAACCTCCTGTCTTCATGTCCACTCTCCTCAACACAATTAAATGGACATCAAACTTGTTTTTTATACTCCATATAACAAAAAATGGTGCTACCATCTGTTGGATATGCCATAAATCTGCTTCTAGATGTGTCCCTTCCCTATTGATGTACTGTTTCATTTTTCAACTATCCCTTAGTGATCATCTTCCTCCCAGCCACATCAAACATCTTGGGCAGATCTCCCCAAAGAATCATTTTCTTACTTCTGAGACTTCATACTATCCTCTGTCTCTCTTTCCTTGGTGTCTTGTTTTTTACTTAAAATTCCCTCCTTATTTACCTAATTTTTCAATTTCAAGTATGGAATCTACTAGGAAATATATCCTAACCACTGTTTTTTTTTTGTTGTTTTTTTTTTTAAGCTAAACCAACTAAGTATTTTATTTTCTCCCATGCATCTGTTGTAAACATGTCTTAAAGGACTTTATGTTTATTTTTGACTAATTATCTATTTCCCTAGTCAGACTATAAGTTAAAGATAGGAAAAGTGTTTTCACCTGTGTTTCTCTAATGTGTAGCAGATGGCCTGTTGTTGTTGTTAAGTACCGTGGAGTCGGTTCCGACTCATAGTGACCCTGCATAGAGTTTCCGAAGCTGTAGATCTTTACGAGAGCAGAACACCTCATCTTTCTCCTTGCCTAATACATTGTAAATGTTGAAAAACTATTTTGAATCACAAATGAAAAGCAATATGGATTTCTCTTTCTCTCTTTTGTAATAGCCTTATTCTGATCATGGAGTTCAAGCAACGTATCACCAGGTTTTTGCTCCAAGTGCCATTGCTATGCCTGCACCTGTTATGCAGCCTGAACCAATTAAAGTAAGAAGCTTGCCTTGGTTTATTTTTGTCATATCTTCTGTCATATTTAAGCTTCAAAATTTTTCTTTTGAAAAATAGCAATTCTGGGTATTTATCTATTTGTGACCAGAAGTAAAAAATGGGTGTATTCTTTCATATAAAGGAAATAGAATTCTAAATTAACTTTGTTGTTGTTGTTATTAAGTGCTGTCAAGTCAGTTCTGACTCATAACAACCCTATACAGGGTTTCTGAGGCGTTAAATATGCAGGAGAAGGAAGCCTGATCTTCCACAGAGCAGCTGGCGAGCTCGAATCACGGTCTCTGTGGTTCACAGTACAGTGCTTATCATATAGACCCATCGAGCTCCTTAAATTAACTGTTGTTGTTGTTAAGTGCTGTTGAGTCAGTTCCAACCTATAGCAACCCTGTATAGGGCTTCTGAGGAGTGGCTGGTGAGCCTGAACCACCAACCTTGAGATTCAAGCCAACATCGCAGTCCAGCGCATGAGCCCACAGCACCACACCAGTATTTCTTATTAATTAGTGGTAAAGAAGTTATAAATTTTATACAGACAAATTTTTATTATCTTTGTTAATGACATATAACATTTATGGTGAGACAAAAATAATTAATGATCTGCTTTTCCAGTTTGAGGATCTTGCTCATGACTTCTAATTAAATGCAGGCCAAAGAGTGTAATGTAGTTAGGTTCATATATATATTCAATATCTATTTTACAGTCTACTCAGTAGGAGCCCTGGTGGTGGTATAAGATTAAAACTGGACTGCTAACCACAGACTTGGTGACTCAAACCTACCAGTGGCTCCACAATAGAAAGATGAGACTTTCTGTTCCTGTAAAGATTTACAGTTTCTGAAACACTATATAAGGTCACTATTGAGTCCTAGTGTGGCGCTGAAAAACAAGCACTCAACCACAAGGTCAGTTTGAGTTGCAAGGTCAATGGTTCTAATTCACCGCCTGCTCATCAGAAGCCCTGTAAAGAGCCACTATGGGTTGGAACCAACTCGATGGTGCTTAAAAACAACAACAACATAATTCGGCACTGTAGAATAAGCACTGGACCACAAGGTCAGTGTGAGCCACAAGGTTAGTGGTTCAAACTCACCAGCCACTCCTTGGAAATCCTATATACTATGGAGTCACTATGAGTCAGAACCAACTTGACAGCACCTAACAACAACAACTATTTGGTGAAATTCTGCTTATTTCCTATGACAGTTTCTTAGTAAAATTCTTGCATCATCATAAATGAAATGAGCGGTATCTCCAGTAGAGAACCATGGCTCAACTGACTGCTATGGTGGTCATATGAATGTTGCTTATAGGGAGGATATTGGGTGAGGAAGTAGACATACTCTTTAAAATAATATGGTGGTGGGAGTGGTTATGTGCTGTGGCATCAGCTCTGACTCGTAGCGACCCTGTACAGGGTTTCCAAGGCTATAAATATATATAATAATATAATGAAGATTAATTGTTTTATTCTCTGATTTTTTTGGCTTCTGGTCCATTCTGCATGTTGAACTCAATACAAAACAGTCTACTTTAAGGATCTTCCCCAGTGTCTCACATACCCTCACCCCATGCCATCACCATTCTGCTGCAAACATGAAATAAAATCCTAATTTTGACCTAAACCCATTGCTGTCACATAAATTACAACTCATAGCGACCCTATAGTGTAGAATAGAGCTGCCTCGTCGGATTTCCAAGACAGTAATATTAAACAGCAGACTGCAACATCTTTCTCCCATGGAGTGACTGGTGGATTCAAACCACTTTGAATCTGATAATCAGTTTACTATACCAGGAATGATAAATTGAAAAGGAATGGTGTGGCATTCATCTTCAAAAGGCATATTTCAAGATCCATGGTAGTTTAGTGGTTATGAGTCAGGCTGATAAACTCAAGGTCAGTAGTTCAAAGCTACCAGCAGTTCTGCAGTAGAAAGATCAGGCTTTCTGCTCCCATAAAGATTTACAGCCTTGGAAACCCTATACAGGGTCACTATGTGTCGAAACAAACTCCACAGCACACAACCACCACCACCACACAACCACCACCACCACCATCATTAAAAACAACAACTTTTTATTGTGAATTGAGTAAAGGATTAAGACACAATCACAAATTTTACATTCAACAAATATTATACTTCGTTTCATCTCAATGATTATAATGCCCTCCATGCAACAACAGTTATTTGGCTTTCTTACTGTAGTTCCTGTTATCAATCCACCTACCTTCCCAAAGGTATCAGGTATCAGGATTGAAGGAAGACTCATTAACAACCTGCGATATGCAGGTGATACAACCTTGCTTGCTGAAAGTGAAGAAGACTTAAAATATTTACTGATGAAGATCAAAGAGCACAGCCTTCAGTATTGATTGCATCTCAA